CTAGTACGAGCAAGTAGTATAGCAATAAATGCAATCGTTTAAATTTCATGTTCAGCTGAAGGCAAAGTGCCCATTAGCCATATAACTACAACAAATCTTTTCTTTTTCTCTTGTTTTCTTTCGGATTTGGTAGAATGGCTGAGAGGTAGATTGGAGGGGTGGGGGGGCAGGCTGGACTCTACAATCTATGAGTCTATGTGACTTTGAGCAAACCTGTTCGTTTCTTTTTTTTTTCAAACCTGTTAGTTTCTTAGGACCTAAAAATCTTCATTTGAAAACCAAGAAAGATTAGATAAGCAGGACTTGCAGAGTAGGAAGGGGGGGAGGGGGGGGTGTCATTCCCGTTATAACGTATGGGAATGGCGCCCCCTAGTGCCTAAACATACACTCTACTTAACCATTCAAGGAGATGGTCCCTGCTAAAATCTAATCCAGGTCCTGGAATTCTATGAAAGACGTGCTTTAAAAATTAATAAAAAATCTTAACATATCCCATAGGTCAAAGGGTCTAAGGTTTTAAAATGTAAAACCTTTCCAGGAATTTTTTTTTTCTTTTCTTGCCTCCAAGAAAACCAAACCCAACTCACTGCCGTCGAGTCAATGCCGACTCATAACGACCCCTTTAAAACAAGGCAGACTAATTCTTCCGAGACTGTAATGGCTGAAAGGACACGTCGATCTGTCCTGGAAGACGTGAAGCCAGAGTGCTCCATATTGACAGGGGCGGCGACACTTCATCTCAAATACTTTGCACATGTTGTCAGGAGAGACCAGTCCCTGGAGAAGAACGTCATGCTTGGTAAATAGCGTGGATGGGAGGAGAAAAAGAGGAATTCCCTCCACGAGATGGATTGACACAGTTGCAACAATGGGCTCAAGCGTAGAGGTGGTGCAGGACCGGGCAGTGTTTCGTTCTATTGTGCCTGTAAGGTCGCTATGGGTCAGAACCGACTCAACGGCACTTAAGAACAACTCGGAGCTGCTGGTGCTTTCAAAGTGACCTACCAGATCACAGCCCAATAGTAAACCACTATGCCACCAGGGTTCCTGTCCTGGCTTTAGCTAGATTGTATTCATTCCCTGTGGTTCCTTATCTCCAGGAAAAGTAGGAAGTGAGAATAATTCCTTCTGGATCAAGGAACATCTTTTTGGACTGGACAACTTAAATGTAAGTGGGAAGGAAGAATCTTGACTTCAATTGTCCTCGTAAAATACCTAGAGATACTAGCAAGTGACTGAATTATCACACTGACTTCTGAGAGCAGCTGTCAACTCTGAAACAGAAAAGGTGCACTGCAAGAAGATAACATCACTTTTATTAATTCAACAGTCTGCTTTATTAATTCAACAGACTTTTATTGAGCAACTATGCTATATGTTGGGCCAAATGCTTCATGTTGGAGAGAACAGCGTTAGCCACAAAAGAAGGATGAACAAATGACTACAGAGTTCGGGAAGGTTTCTCCCAGAATATGGGACATTTGAGAAAGCCCTAGAAGATGAGGAAGGGGGGAGGGGGTACGAACAACCGAAACCATGGGGGAAGGGAGACAGTGGTCGGTGTAAGATATGAAAATAATAATTTATAATTCATCAAGGGTAGGGAGGGAGGGGAAAAAAAGAGGAGCTGATACCAAAGGCTCAACAGAAAGTAAATGTCTAGAAAAGAATGATGGCAATATATGTACAAATATGCTTGATTCAATTGATGTATGGATTGTTGTAAGACTTGTAAGAGCCCCCAGTACAATGATCTTTTGATTAAAATAAAAGATGAGGAAGGAACCCTAGTCATGGATTCGAATTCAGGAGTCATTCCTTAAGAAAAACAAAGAGGGGGCTTCTGCTCATATAAAGATCTGCAAGTCTTGGAAACACAAACAGGCAGTTCCCTTCCATCCTATAGGGTCGCTTTGTGTCAGAATTGCCTGTACGGCAGGAAGCTTGGGAGATGAGTTTGAAAAAAAATAATATGAGGATCCCTGGGGTGGTGCAAAAGTAGCACACTTAGTTGGCAGTCCAAGTCCACCCAGAAGGTGTCTTGGAAGAAAGGTGTGGTGATTTACTTTGGGGGGAAAAAACCCCAAACAAAAAACAACTAGTTATTCAAAACTCCATGGCTAAGCAACTGGCCTGGCAACAGGATGAAGAGATCATGAGACTCCTTCACGGTGGTGGGGACTGGAGGGGGAAGCCCCCCCAAAAAGGAACAGAGTGTGCATAAAAGGCTCACTGGTGAGTTGCCAGTGATGAGATTATCTAGCAGGAGGCTAGGCTGATCAGATGCACTGGGAGCGCCCCATCAAGTGCTTTGTACATGGACCACACTAAGTAGTTGGATTTTATCTACTGGCCCAGGGAATCAGTTGGCATTTTAAATTAGGTGAGTAGCATGATTAGATCTGCATTTCGGAAAGCCCATTTTGCTGGTCGGTGCAGAATAAATTGTGGGGTGGAGGAGAGGCTGAGACTGGAGGCAGGGACACAGCTTTGGAGAGTGTTGCAATGGCTCCTGAGAACAGTGGCGCAAGTGAGCCTGGGCGCGCAGCGGGGCTGGAGCGGAGGTTACAGATTAAAGACATAGTTCAGAGATGGCATCATAAAGACTTGGTAGCTAATTAGAGGGACGGTGAGGGAGAAAGGGTCGCACACACAGTTGAGGGTTCTGGCTTGAACAAACGGGAATAGTGGGACCCATTATTCCAAAGCCACTTTACGGAGCTGACTTTGATTTTTGGTTTTAGCTTCTTGGTTTAGCAACCTCACTTCCACACAGAAACCTTATGTAGTAGTTCTATCTATAGCAAGGTTGACTCTAGAAGAGCTATATGATAGTCCACCATCTGATTAAAGAAACACTAGTGGGCCATTTGAGTTGGATGATATCCTCGATGGTGTAAGTGGGAAGCACTCCACTATTAGGTGGCAGTTCAAATCCACACAGAGGCACCTAGCAACCTCGGTGTGAAAGGTCACAGCCTAGAAAGCCCCAAGGAGCAGTACTTCTCCACACACACACACACACACACACACACACACACACACACACACACGGGGTTCCCCGAGGCAACATTGACCAACGGCGACTAATCCTCACAAGTATTTAGTGACCGGTTGGGATATGATCTGGGCATTACTTAAGCAATGAATGGATCAACATTTAAGAATGTGTGCTGATTAGTAGTAGTCTTCCTCAATCTTTCAGAATAAATACTCTCTTTGAAAAAACAAACGCACTGCCATTGGGTATATGCCCACTCATAGCGACCCTATAGAGCAGGGCAGAACTGCTCCCGTGAGTTGCGAGATGAAAATTCTAATGGAAATAGAAAGCCCCATCTATCTCCTGATTCTATAAAAGTTCCTGTCTAATATGGATTACAGGGATTTTGTGAGCAGCTTCTGTGTCCGAGTCATTGGTATTGTGGTTTGAGGTGAATTCCAATTCTTTGCAATGAATTGAACAGCTGAAAACAATTTTGACGGTCACTTCCACCTGAGTACTACAGAGTGCATGTGCTACATTTACTATGAGAAGCAATACCCTTCTTGGTACCAGTCCAGTTTCTATTTCAAGAGAGACATGAAATGTCCATCCATTTATTCCTCAATATGTTGACGTGGGGGTAAAGTCCTATAGGTGAACAGAAATATTTAGAGGCACAGAAAAGATTGAAGTTGTCAAGGATTTTGTCTTGCTTGCATCTACAATCAATGCTCATGGAAACAGCAATCAAGAGATCAAATGGCACATTGCATTGCTGAATCTGCTGCAGAAGACCTCTTGAAAGTGTTGAAAAGCTAAAAACGCCACCAGCATTCTTCTTGGGAAGTGCCCAACATTATTTTTCGGACAAGAAATATTAATTTATTACCGGGATAAAGTCTATAGGTGTGCTAAATAAAGATGACGTAACCCACCCCACCCCACCCCCGCAAAAAAAAAGCTAAAAACGTTCCTTTGAGGACTAAGGGTGGCCTG